AGAACACTGTTTCAAACTCTGATCTTAATGATAACTTATTAATAGCTGTTGTTTATTTTATGGACATCTCAAATATCAGTATGTGTCATTATGGTATGAAAGTATTGTTTAGGCTTTTTTAGACTATGGTGCTGGTTGGCCACTCCACAGGCTTGTGAATATTTGCAGTCAATAACAAAGGAAAGACCGACAGAGGTGTGTGTTTGTAGTTCTGTGTGTGTGCATGTGTTATATGCATTCATAAAAACTGTACAGTGCCTTTTTTAATGTTTTCAAATGTACTCCGAAATTTGTCTCTTGAACCAGTCTTCACTAGCACGGTCAAAGCTGGATTGTACTACAGTTTTTTGAATTTCACTTCCCTGTAGTGTCATTTTTGTTCTGCCAAGTGTTTGTGTAAGAGAACCTGATCTAGCTTTTAGTAGTGCTGCTGTGTGACCTTGCCTGCTGTGTTGAACAGAGAGTGTTTATCTTTGCCAAATAGCTGAACATCAGATAGCAACTTAAACAGCAGATAAAAAACACTCATTAACCTGCTGTCCTCACTTTGAAGGAAGGAGCTCAGGAGAAAGTCCCTGTCAGACAAAAGTGTTGGACAAATATATAATTTAAACAATTTCTTCAAAGTAAGCAGCACACATTACATTACATGAAATTACCCCGCTTGTTATTCAATAAATAATAAAAGAATATTTTGTGTGTAAAGTTCAGAAAAGTAAATAAACTAATAAATAAGTTGTGGTTTTGAAACCAAACAGTTGGTAATGAGTTACCAAAGGCACATACAGTGTACACACACACACACACACACACACACACACACACACGTCTATTTGCACATTGTTGCACTTTTGAAATTGGACCTGCTCTACTTTCAAGGAAGTGAAAGTGGATTCAATTCTTAATTTTACTGGATTTATTTTTAGGATCACCATTGGAATAATCACATGTTTGGTATGTTAGCCTTTCACAGCTCAACAATAGACATTTTAGTACAGCTACAGTAGGGAGGCATTGAGATTAAAGCAGTCAGATATGCAGGGGAGGGGAGTACAGAAGAGCAAGAATAGGGTAAAAAGCTTCCGACTCATAGATATCACAGTTAAACACTTCAGGAGATACCGTTGACCCTTGACATTTAACTTCCTGCCTGAATAACACACACATACCCCCCACACCACGGCAGCCACAGCACATCGCTCCCAGCTGCGTGTGAGTGCAGCTGATCCACTGCACTGCTGACACATGACTACCGTCTCACACACACACACACACACACACACACACACACACACACACACACACACACACACACACACACACACACACACACACACACTCAGTTCTGTTCAGATGTCTCAGGCTTTGCAGCAGATTTACACAACAATTATTTTATCTCTAAACTGTAGAATGACAAGTTCCTAATCTTGTCAACGTGCTTCAAACTATGCACTTATCTCTTAAATATGCGATGTAATCTCAGTGAAACCATGAACATTACAGTATGTGCCAAATTTGGGGAACAACAAGTGTATCATTACAGACATCTCAGTTAAGTGACTTGTCAAGACATGATTTAGAGATATCTCTGCGTACATGTTGCATAGTTTGAATTCTGTCCTGTCTAAATCCAAGAGACATTAAATGCAAGAGACCTTTGCCACTGAATTGTCTAAAAAGGCAGTTGTAATTTCAATTTAATTTACCTATGTTTTCCTACAATCAAAGGGCTTTTTTTTATCAATGAAGATTTACGTTTAAGCTAGTTAAAACTGAATATATGACTTCAAAGGAGGTCAGCTTTTTGATAAATGGCCCTAACACACACACACACACACACACACACACACACACACACACACACACACACACACACACACACACACACACACACACAGAGAACCTCTTTATGTGCTTCTGATGTATTGAAGTAAGTGACTGATGGATTGCAGTAATGTGACGAATGATGGATAATGTTGAGACAAGTGAAGGTCAGCTGATTTAACATGACTGTAAATGTCAAACACCCAGTGCACAGAGACTGACCTTAGTTTGAGTGACAATAAAGCAATAACTGTAGCAGGACCAAATAAAGTCCTCAAGTTTCTTTATTTAGCTGCAAAACACCATGAAGAACGGTTATGTATTTTATTCCTGTGCAATGAACAAGGGAGATTAAATGGAAGTGAAGTTGGTTGAAACCATCTCCAGAACAATCAGTTGTCTCTTTGTGTAATTGATGATATTTAGTATGTAAGGAATATGTACGCTTGATTTAATCTAAAACTGTATTTGATTTATTTCAGAAAACTATCCCGTGAGCGGCTCTGATGGAAAGACGGAGTCTGTGGCGGACCTCCAGCCGCAGCCCTCGCTCACCTCGGTTCACTCCAGCTCTCCGGGTCCCAAGCGCTCCGGAAACACTCTGAGGAAGTGGCTCACCAGCCCGGTGCGCCGCCTCAGCCACGGCAGCTCCGTCAAGAAACTGCCCAACAGCAAACAGAAGAAAACTGGTAAGACTAAACCACATGACTCTTGAGTATAACATATTTCTGACAAGTTAAAGATCAACTATTATGCAAAATCCACTTTTTCATGTCTCTTCTAAATTAACATGTGTCCCCTCTGTGTAAAGAGATTCAGAAAGTTTCAGGAAAAAAGATTTGCTCACTTTTTGTCCTGATCAGATTTTGGCCACTTTATGATGCCAAGGCACAC